AGTGACACTCCTGAGCGAGATCACAATATTAAGCTAAAAATTACTGTAAAAGTACAATATCTCGACAGTAATAACTCAAGGTTTTGAACTGTTTTCAGGATATTCATGGTTCATGTATTCCATGTAAACTACGTAGTCTCGGTATAAAAATAATCTATCTGTTGGATGACTTTCATTCGTAAGATACAGTCTTAATTCGAAGAAAATTATTAAACTTACTTCATATGTGATTATTCCATCTGGCATTAAATCATATAATTTATTAAGACATTCAATAACTTGTGTTGTACGATTTGCCATTGTTTCCCTAAAAGTATATATATTTAGTAGTTTTCAAAAATGTTTTTATAAAATGATTGTTTCTCTTTCCTTACCAAACACCACCAACTTTGGCATATTCAACTGGATGTGGAAGAAGTAAAGCAATGACTAATTCATGATGTTCTTTAACAACTGATTTAAGCCATGGTATAACATACTAATGAAATAAATAAATCAAACATGATATCAATTCTTTTTTTTTCATCTTACTTCAGATTTTAATTTGCCTAAAACACTTCCAATTTCATTTCCTGGTAAACGAACAGTTGAATGAAACCATAGAAATAACATACTTAAAATACGTCCAAATATTTCCTAAATAACACGAGAATAAAAAACAACAATTTTTTTCTTTAATCAAAAGAAGAAAAAAAATTATCTCATACAGGTGGTCCATATGATGTTGGTTCAATAAGACCCAAAATTAAATAAATTCCATATCGACTTAATAGTTTTCTTCCAACATCAATATCCAAACTTAAAAACATATTTGCTGTATTATCAATATTTTCTACTAAGATAGATTTTTTTTCATCACTCATTGAATCAACAATACGTTTTTCTTCATTATTATCTGTTTCACGTAAAAGACTAATTATAGCTTCAACACAATGATTTTGTACATCAGCTGATAAACGCCACATATCAATTAATGTTTCTTGATAAACATGATTTGAATCAATATGTCGTCTTTCGTGACATTGACGACATAAACTTATTGGATGATTACCATTTGATAAACAACATTCAATGGAATAACAAACAGCATGAGTTACTTTTTTTTCTGATATACATAACTAAAGAAAATAGAAATAGAAAAAAAAATTATTGTTGCTTTTTTTTTGTTTTAAAATTTTTACTTTATTTTGACAATGTAAAGCAATTTCTGATACAGGACAAAGAATATTACGACAATGTTGTTGAATATCTTTCTGACAACTTTTATAACAATCAGTACACATATAATATGGTGGTGGAGTAGAGTCACCATGTTTTGATAAAAGAATATCAACACAAACTTTTGATGCAATATTTTGTCTATGTACACATCGTTCTGCTTGACATATTATTGGTTTTCGTGCTAAATTGATTCCATTAGCTTTGTTAAAATATAAAAAATAAAAGAAAAAAAAATGCTTACGAAGAAATTTAAAATGTATTGAACGTCGATCAATTCCAGTCTGATTAAGCATAGGCCAATAGAAAAAAAGTAAATTTGATGCAACAGCTCTTGCTGATGCAGATCCATGTGCAATAACAAAGAGAACATCCTATTAATTATATTAAGACTTTGATTTTAAATAGTTTATTTTTTTTTGATAATTCATAGTATTACAATCAACATGCATTAAATAGAAAATATTTATTTGATGATATCAATAAATAACTCTGCAAGTTGAAAATAATTATCCTGATCGAGTTTTATTTACATCACTTAAGACATGTTCTAGAGAAGTTTTTAACTTCTTTTCATACATATACAGATAATTCATGAATATAGGAATATGATATTGAAGAAATAGAAAACTTCATTTCCAATATTCAATAAGTTTATTAATATCTTTTGAAACTGTATTCTCCTACAGAAAAAAAAACTTCTAGTTCATTTTCTGCTTCTTCTTGTACAATTATATTTTATTTACAAGTCATTTTGTACTTTTTTTCACTTTTTAGAATCAAGTCATACCTAAATGTGGTTTATTGAACAGTCGATTGTTTTTTTTTACAGTAGACAAGTTTCACAAATGATCACCCATTCTATTACCAATAATCGATGATGACAGCACTCTGAACCAAGACAATAATTTTACTCAAAGTTCTCGCTTGATTGCTCAAGCTATTCATATACATAATATTAGACACACATCCATCGTGCGTGGCATTATTGTATATGATGATAGCAGAGCTCGAATTGTGTGCATGCAGCATTCGAATAATTGGATGATAAGAATTTTGAATGATATTACCATCCATGTTCAAAGCTACACCATCATCGATTATTGGTGATAGAGTTAGATGACCATTTGTGAAGCTCATTAGTTACAGAAAATAATCAGTTTTTAGACAAGACACATTTGGACATAACTTCACTATTAAACTGAAAGCGGTTAAATAGAATATATCGTTCCTCTTTGCATTATTGTGTATGCTCTCGCAATAACATCAGAACTCATCATTTTTAAATAAATACAAAATAAAATGTAAATAAAGTATAGCATGTACAGGCAAATATACATATATTGATTCTAGGAAAAGGGAAAAAGGAACTTCTTTTTGTTCATGGTAGACTATAGAGGTTTCGACAAAACAGATGGCATCCATGCAAAAAAACTGAGAATCTTAAAAGATTCTGAATGTTTAGTTACATACGAAACTGATAATCAAAACCATTTGTTTTCTTTATTTCTTTTAACTACACAAAATTCGAATCTTTTTTTTTCAGTTGTAATCATGCTTAGGGGTGAGAAGTTATTGTTATTTTTTGTTATTAATAACAATAACAATAACAAAAAAAGTTATTTGTTATTAATAACAAAAAAATAACAAATAACTTTTTTTTTCGAAAAATCTTAGTTATGCTTTGTTACTATGTAAAAGTATACCAGTTCTATTTGCTCATTATTGTCCAATTGCTCGATGATGTTACTGACCGCAATCTCCGTTAGATAGCCTATGAAACTGAGAAAAATTCTAAAAAGATCTTTTCAAGTATCTTGCTCACCTACAGGTAAAATTTACTAATCGGTTTACGAGGAACGATTCCTCAATGTTTGATTGCCTTTGACTTGATGTTTTGGTCAAATAAAAGTCTTTGCGAAATGAGATTCTAGGTGCCATTTTTCGAGTTATGATCTGTACAATCTTTCTAGACATTTTCTCATCTCCCAAAGGCTTATATTTGACCAAGGCATCAAGTCAAAGACAATTGAGCATTGAAGAATCGTTCCTCGTAAAGCGATCAGTAAATTTTGCCTATAGATGAGCAAGATACTTGAAAAGATCTTTTTAGGATTTTTCTCAGTTTCATAGGCTATCTAACAGAGATTGCGGTCAGTAACATCATCGAGCAATCCGACAATAATGAGCAAACAGAACTGGTATACTGTTACATAGTAACAAAGCATAACTAAAATTTTTCGGAAAAAAAAAGTTATTTCTTATTTTTTTGTTATTAATAACAAATAACTTTTTTTGTTATTGTTATTAATAACAATAACAATAAATTCACACCCCTAATCATGCTTAATTTCCTTATTTTTCTTCCACTTCATCAAAAGTCCATAAATACACACACAATAGCATCATGCGATACGAATACAACAAAAAAAACAACACTTCAAACATTTATTACGACAAACTCACGTAAATTAAATCTGCTTTTAAACTCAATAAACATTCCATTATTTGAGCAGGATAATCTGCAAATTAATAATTATTTTTTTATTTTGTCTCTCCAACTTATTGCTTTTCTTGTTGTTTTTTTTTTTTCAATCTTATTTTTTGTTAATAAAACATAATTTTTACTTACTATCTCCTTCACTATTCTCAAAAACAATAAAAAGAATTGATGCTATTGAATTTAATGTCATTGAATGTTCTGGATATTCCGTATAAGCTAAAAAATTTATTAATATTAGAGTATAAAAACAATTTTAAAAGTCTGCTTCCTTACCCATATTTATAGGTAAAAGTGTATTACATAATGTATCAAGAATTTTCTTTTTAACAGCAGATGGAAATATAGTTAATGTTGTTGCAAATGTATATGGTAATGCATCAAGTAATTCATAAGGTAAAAATGGTGCTAAACAACCAAGTGTACTGATAATTGATTCTGCTACTTCAGTATCACCCGCTTGCAATAATGGTACAGCATCAATAAGATTAATTAACGAATGATAAAGTGATGAATAATTTAATGTTGGATATTTACTAATACGATATGAATGTTTACCACTTGTTTGTTCTGGATTTTGATCAATTGTCATTTCTTTTAATACACTAGAAGAAGAATTTTATGTAATTATAATCATTATTTTTTTTTTTTAATATTTACCTAAGAAGAGTTTTAGAAAAATGATCAAGAACAGATACAATATCATTTGTAGTTGGTACTGGTGTTACACCACTAACTATATTATTATAATAATCATTAAGAGTTCGAATTTTTGATGAAACTAAATAAAATAAACATAAGTTTAAGAAGTCTAATTATTTTCGTGATATATATATATCTTTACATGCAGCTGCACGAGTTGCCATTTGATCTACAAAAGATAAGAATTAAATATTTGTAAGAAAACGTATTAAAAAGAAAAGATTATTTATTGATAACCTTTCCCGAACAAAAAAACTCAACAATAGAAAAAAAAACAAGCTAAATAATAGACAGAAGAACCATTTGACGTGATCGATCGATTCTCCTAGGACCTCGTACTATTTAAACATAATGTCGCTAATAGTCATAGAAATGTTCATTCCCAAGTAGCGCTAATCTCTTAATGGTATATGAACTTATTCAGATTGGTTTATATTTTTAGCCAACTCATTTGAAGGTCAATAAACCTGTGTCGTACTCGATAAATGTGACGAAAAACGCCTGTCGAAAATTAAATCAAGAAAATTTATAGTAAAGATTTCTTTTGAATTGATTGAAAGAACATATACTATTATAAAATATGGCCGCATCATCAAGATCAGCAACTGTAGCCGAATTACGTCGAATGTTTTCCAACCTAGATTCAACCGTAATTGAAAGTGTTTTAGCAGCTAATAATGGTCAAGTTGATATTACAATTGATCATTTACTTACAATGTCGATTGACACTGAAAATGAAAATAATATTCAACAAGTAAAAAAATTTTGAAAATTAATTCTATCAAATCTAATTATACATAAATATTTTAGGTAACACCAACAACACCACTTCGACAATTACCAGCTGTTCCTAATATATACGATGATGATCCACCACCTTGTAAATAAATTCTTTTTTTTTTACTGATATGACCAAGTTTTATTGTTCGATCTAGATCCTGGCCATGATCCAATGGCTAATCATCATTCAATAACAACAACCATGCCTTCTCTTCCACAACGTTCGTCATCTAATGCTCAATCATCAATCAGTTATAATCAATCAAACAATATGCATTTTTCAAAAGAGTATATAACAAACTTTCATTCTTTTATTTTTTTTTTTAAATTTATCTTTATATACTACGCTGTTTTTCGTAGTATAAATTCTCAGCAAGATCTTCAAATGCGAAGATGGAAAACAGCTTATGATCAATATCGTATTTGTTATATTGGAGATTTACCAGATGATTTTCTTCGAGTAAAATTATTATCAAAATTTACGAATACAAATCAATTAAAGGTATGAAAGTTATTTTTAGTAATTTTCCTTTATATTTTAATACTTTTCATTGAAAAAAAAAAGAACAATTTTTCTGAAGAAAATGGCAAAACATCACGATATATTGAAGATGAACGTTTTAACGAACTTTTTCACAATGAAGAATTCTTAAATGAACTTCGACATAATAAAGAGTTTTTAACAGCCCTTCATTCAGGTGTGATTTTATATTAAGTGATTTTATAAAAACTAAAATGAATATGTAGATCAATCGATTCGATCAACATCATCATCTCAACAACGACGATCATTTAATTATTTAAGTACAAAACCTTTACCATTACCAACACCTCCAACTGTTGAAACACTTAAAACACCAAAAGTTCGTGCAAGAATGCTACAAAATGTTCTTACACAAATTGAACAAGGACAAACCATGAAAAGTAAAATAGAAAATAATATCTTAATTAATCAAATTATTTTATTATCTAATATTAGCATCAATGGTTCCAGAAGAATCTATTACTCAAAATGAAAGCTATTCTTATGGAAAAGGTATTTGAATAAAATCAACAAATTATTTTTTTAATTATTTTTGTTAAGATAATCTTGAACGAATACCACTTCCACCTGCAGCATTTGTTAGTGAATTTGATCCATTACGACTCGAAAGTAATGAAGAATTTATTGATCGATTAAAAAATATGGGAAAAAGTAATAAATTATATAGGAAATCATGTTTAAAAAATCTTGACTATTTTTTATAAAGATTCAATGGAAAAATTTAATCAATTAGCTCGGCGATTTTCTACACGTAAAGATACAACAACAAATACTGGAAAATATTCTAAACAATCAATGTAAGTACTTTTCCATGTAAACATTGTCATTATCATGAAAATATCGAAGCAATATGTTAATCTGAAAGAAATTTATAAAACGAAAAATTTCTATGAAAAAATCTTTTCTGATTATTAATTGGAAATAGAAAATAGGCGGTGGCTTGAATTTTGTTGATAGAAATCAATAAAATTGTAATTTGACAAGCATTTTACTGAAAGTCACTATCAGTAACTGACCGATTCAATCTCATCCCATTGCATATTGATACGACTTTTGCAGTAATAAAAAAAGATAAATGCAAGTATTCTTTTGCATGAAATCTTATTGAAGAATTTAAAACTGAAAACCGATAGCTATTCATTTTCGTTTATTTAGAAATCAAAGGTTTAGCATCGATAATATAGAATAGGAAAACTACTGATAATTTAAATTTTATGTTTCTCAAGACAGGAACTCAGTAAGAGAATGCAGGTATAAATGTTACCACAACAGAACACAACAAAAAAATTTTGATAAAACAATTGTAAAGATAATGAAGAAAGTTGCATATTTATTTATGTCATTGACTTTATTCTATCAAAGAAACATATATTTTAAGCAAAATCTTGAAGATCAACCTTCGATTATGAGTACATACTTGTCATTTGTTCCATCTATATCTCGTCTTCTATTTAATCTTCTGTGCAATTTTAAGTCATCAATTCATTTTGATGGTTATCAAATTTATATTTTTCAACAGAAATGATCATATGTTTTTCCTTTATTTAGGATAACAGATACATCAGAATGACAATGAGTAACAAGTGCATTCTACAATGATGATGATCTTATTTTATTGAACAAAAATAATCCTGTTTGTTTTTCTTTTTTCTTAATCAGTATTATATTTATATATTTTTATTTTAGGATCGATATCTTATCTCCGTCTTATAATTTATCTCAATTTCAATATTTCTGTTTTTTTTTCTTGTTCTAAACAACCAACAATAGCGTCCTATTTTTTTCTGTAGATATCTTCTCATCTATTTTTTATCCTATTCTCAGGTTATGATAACCTCTTTTTAATTTTCTGCTTAGAATTCAAATTTTCTTCATTAATTTTGCTTAGCTAAACGAAGAAAATGAATAAGCAGTAAGAAAAACTAAACTCCTTTTGCGTTTTTTTTGATTTTTCGTCTTTGTATGCAAGTCAGATTGTAAGATGAACAGTTAAATGAAATGAAAATCAAAAAAAGAACTATTCGAGCTCGTTTTCTTTTTCTCTTATTAGAAAACAAGATCTTTTACTTTTACTTTGTTTTTATATTGTGCATTGATGAATTGTGGCGAGATGCTTTTGTAAACAAAAAAAAAACATAGTTTTATGTATTGCTAGGTTTATCTTTTTGTTTTTATGTAAGAATAAAATACAAATCAATTCTTATGAAATAAACAAAAAATAAAATAAATAAATCTCAATTTTTTAGATATTAATTATAGAAGACACGAAAAATGTATGGTTGTTTTTTGACATCTGATGATGACAAATATCTTGATTTAATTACAGATGAATTAGACAAATACAATCTATCGAATGATTCTTCCTTGTGTGTGTTCTTCATTTTTACTTTTGATATTATTTAATTAGATTATTAAAATTTAATTATTGTTTATTTCTTTTTGCAGTATTCTTCTTTTTCCACCTTTATCATCACGACATCGATTATTATTACATCGTCTTCGTGATAAAAATTATTCTAATCTATTCAGTTTCTCTGTCGGCGACGAAAAAGCTGCTCGTCGAACAATAATTTGTTTGAAATCACAAGTCATGGATGAAACGAATGTGTAAGAATGTTTAAATAGTTGTTTAATTCTCCGAAGAAGAAAATTGACTTTAGTGATATCAGTCAGTCTTGAAATTTAAGAATTTAAAATAGACCAGTATGAATCTTTGGAATTTTCAACTTATATTTTAAATATTGTAATTAAATATATACATAATTAACTCTTTAAGTAGGAAGAATGCGAAGTTGCATCCTGAACTTTGCAATAATGAAGAGACCTAAGTGAAGAAAGAACATACTTATGAATATATGGAATGAGAAATTAGATTATGCATTGTAGGTTTTTTCGCAGACTATTGCGTTCTGCAATCATTTTGAACTGTGTATTTCATCATAGTCAAAATAAAAAAAATAAGTTAACACTTTGGTTAACGACGAAGTATTGATGCGTCATGAGCTTAATCATTGCTTGAAACTGCCGGAATCACTTACAGCGTATGCTTATTATATGTATTCGAGTAAATGTCAACGTCAAGCAACACGAGTTTTCTACATAACTATTTTGTTACGACATGTTGCTAAACTTATGCGCTAAAGAAAGCAGACGTGGGTGGTGTATAACTACCCTTTTTCTATGTATGTTTATCTTTTGTCAGTAATCAATCCGCTAAGTATAAATTTCGAATTTTGAAAGTTTTCACTTTCATTTATTTTAAAAGATAATTCCTGAATTAAAAAGTTGATCAATTGGCAATTTTCAATTGTTTGATCTTCTTTAGCTATTGAGGTTTCAGTTGTAAATATGCCTTCATAAGTCAATAAATTAGGGAAATGATTTATTCTGTAATTTTGTGTCTTGTGATAAAAACGCTTCGTTCGAGATAATATAGATGATCGTACAAAAAAGTAAACCATCTATTTGATCGAATCATCTTTTTTATTTATATTCTCCTGAATACTGTAATTAGGTAAATACATCCGTGTGATGAAATTAAGTTTGGAAAAGACCTTTCGAATTCTTTAAACTCGGTATTAAAACATGAATATGTTTTGATATAGTATGCTATATTTTAGGCAAAAAAGTATTTCTAGTTCACATTGCTTCTAAGGAAAGAGAATTTGAATGTATTTTGCGCCAAAGATTTTTTAAACATCTTTCATTCATCAGTAATATTATTTTTTTCATTGTTTCAGAACAGCATCACCCACAATCTTGGTCAATTCGAACGATGAATCTACGACCAAGTATGTGTTTGTCTTAGATTTGAATAATAAAAAGTTTTCTATTATTCTAGACGTCGTCCAGATCAAGCTTTATATAAGCCACCACGTCGAAGTAAAAATTCTGAGGTTTCTAGTTCTACATCTACACCCACACCACCACCATCCACGACGACATCACTTGAAGAAGTTCAACAAAACAATAGTACACCTAAATCGACGAAAAGTAAAATCGCTCGGCCATCAGCTGAACCTTATGTTCCGCCGTCCAGACGCAGTCAACCGGTGACCAAAGAACCACTTCCACCTTCATCTTTGTCTGTAACATTAACTACTGAAAACAAAAAAGAAGATGGTGAGATAGAAGAAGAAGAGGAATGGGAGAAAATATTAGATAGTAATGAAAATCCTCAATATAATGACCTTGTTGAAGAAGTAAAAACTTCAATACATTCTTTTCCTTTAATTTTAAAAAAAAATGTTTTGTTTTGTTTTGTTTTTAAGATTCAAACAAAATTCAAAGAAAATGTTCAGATAAAAAAACCAACGAATGACTATTCTCAATGGTCAATCGATGATATACAAATAAAAGAAGCTGATTTAGCACATGTAGTTGAAGTATCAAATTTTCCATCAACATTTCGTACTGAAGATCTTTCAAATGCATTCAAAACGCTGACGTATGAATTATTATATACTATAATTGAAATATATATCTTATTTCATTTATAATTAAAATAGTCGAAGTACATTCGATATAAAATGGGTCGATGAAACGCATGCTTTGATCGTTTTTCCAGATGCTAATATGGGTAAATAAAGACCTAAGTATTTCATTTACATAAATGGATAATAGTTTCCGTTTCGACCGATTTTGATTACTGTTTGTACTGGAAGTTTGAAACGTTATATATACGTACTTCACCAACAATATAGATCATTGGCATTGTAGTATCGTTATTGCTTAGTTACAAGGAGTGTTGTGATGTACGACATCGAATTTTTTTGCTTTGAGCATTAGAACCTAAAATAGAAGACTACCTACAACATTTCGCCATGTTTCTTACTAAAAATATGACTAATTCCTGATATTTTTACATGCAGCTGAAATACCGTCTGCGGTCTTGCTTAGTCAAAAGATAAGTTTATTTACTCAAATCTTCATATTTCTAAATCTTTGAAACCGATAAGGTTATTATCTATGTTCCATTTGTCCTTAGTATAAGATTCGCTTCTGAAACTTGTAAACAATAATGCCTAACTGTAGAGTAAGTTTCTCAAAAATTTTAAATTCGTTTGATTGAACTATCATTGATTTATTTACATCCAAAAGGCAGTAGATGTTTTCTCTCCATACCAATGAACATTGTCTTTGAAAGGATTGATGAACTTCAATAAAATTAGTGATGCAGATAGCAGGTACATAACATTACATATTGAGGAACTGACTGACAAAAAATACTTTTCCTTTTCAAAGTTGTAAGGGTGACAATAAGAATAGTCATCATCTATCATAACTCCTTTTGCAATTAAGCAATAACAGCACTCCAATGCAAATGATCTACATTCTTGATGAAGTGCGTATACACAAAGTTTCAGACTTTCAGTACATACAGTGGTTGAGATCAGTGGAAATGAAGGTTGTTCTCTACTACTGTATTTCTGAATAAATAGTAATGATAATTTAGCTTTGGATGCGCTTCAAATGGAATATCCTATGTTAAAAGTTTGTTCGATGTCTCAAGCATCATCTGCATCAAAGAAAAAAGCAAAAAATTCACTTGGTATATCATATATTATTTTGCTTCTCTTTTAATTAATATAATTTTTCTTCTGATGATACAGAATTTCTTCAACCGTATAAAACTCGACCACAAACATCATCGTTAACAGCTAATCGTCGCATATGTGCTGCATTAGGTCTGAAAAATCCGATGAGTAGTGATAAAACTAAAACTGAACGACAAAAAATTGAAACAGCTAGAAGTAAATTAACAAATTATTTTGGTTTCTCTTTTCCAAAAAGCCTTTATATGTTAATCTTTTTGTTGTTATAGAACAAAAAATTCGTGACAAAGAAGAACAACAAACAGTTTGGGATGGTGGTGTTTTACCTACCACATCAACGACATAACATTTTTTTATATTTATGTAATATTTCTTTTGTATTTAATCTAAAATTTTGTCACAATATGTTTCATTATCTCGTTTGTGTTTTTGTCTATTTTCTTTTTTCATTCAGACTTTTGTCTGTCAAACTAACATATTCTTATTGGTGAGAAAATAAAAAAAACAAGAATGTTACTACTTTAAATTTCTAGATTTTCAATGTCATCTCAAGGTTCAACTGAATCAGTTATCAAACAATTATGTTCTGGAATATTAACCGGTGGTGCTATTGGCATATTTATAAGTAAAGGTCAACGTGTTCTTTCATGTATAGCATTTACTTCCATTGGTTTACTTGATATTGCATATCATATGAATTATTCAAAAGCACATATAACACATTTGACTTACGATCAAATAATACCTCGAAGAGATATTAGAGCAAGATTTAATGATTTACAACGAAATATACAAAGAGAATTGCGTGAACCACGTGATGATTTAAATCAAGAATTAGAGTGGTTATGGAGTGATATAAAAAGACACATCGATGGACATATTTATTATGGAATGGGTTTTACAATAGCATTTTTAATGAGTGTTATTCTTTTACCAAAAAACCATCGCTAAAGAATATTGTCTTGTCAAAGTTATTATTGGCACATGCAATCCACTCTAGAAAATATTGACTTCTTTTTTTCTGCTATAAAATGTACTTCTAGAAAATTGAACGTATTCTATTGACTAATAGAAATTATTTATCATATATTCTATGCAAAAGAATTAATCAATAAATAGGTTATATTTTCACTGTCAATAACTGTCACCTCATATTTAACATAGTTTTCATGTTGATTCATGAATTAAAAAAGTTATTACATCTATGTAGTAGTTACTGATCTTTTAAAAGTTTGATAGTAAACAGGAGTAAATAGAAGATAAGTACTTTTGTTTTGTATGCAAATGTTTCTTTGATCTATGTCGTATTTGTTTCAGATGGATATGGCATATAATCATGTAGAACATGGCAACGTACTATTTAGTGGAACTTTACTAAATAGTTTCGTTGATCTACATAGATCACAACTTGAATTATCTGGTGTGCCTCCATTATTCTATCCTATTCTATTTGATAAACTTCAAAAGCAGGTCAATAAATAATAAGAAAAACATGTATGACTAAATCTAATTTATATGAAAATAGATTTTTGATGCTGGTGAATATTTTGGTATAATTGAAGTAGAAAATGATGAAGGTGAAACTATTCAACGTAAAGTACGTGTAACTAGTGAACATAATCTACTCAAGGATGATCCTACAATGTTAGTTAAAACACCATCTATTGTTGAAATGTTTTATTTTTTGTTATTTTTTGTTTTTATTGAAGGATCTTTCTTATTGATCATGCATATACTTATCGAATAAATTATATTCGAAATGAACTTGAACAATTACCAGAATTAGTCGAACGACTTTCTCGATTGATGTTGATAACACCCGATGAAGACAACAAAATTAATGCTATTATTGAACATATGTGGAAATTTAATCATACATATACATTAGCTATGGATGGAGGTAATGCTGAAGACCGTGAACCTTATTGGTATATTCGAGATGAATTTGGTTCGGCTATTGAACATTCTGATCAAGCAAATGTTCGAATGGTACCTTTTCTTTCAATGATCGATGGACAAATGTATACATTATTATGGCTTATTGAAGATGTTGCATGTAATGGTATGTATTAAATAAGACTATTTTTTCGGCAGAATAATTAAGAGAGAAAAACTATATATATATACACCTCCAAGTCTCAGAGAAATAAAGGATGTGCCGAAATTTTCTATAGAAAATATTTGCCTATTTTTTGCGCATTCAAATGCATTGCAAAAAAAATGAGGAGTATTATAATTAAAATGTTGTACTCTTTCAGAATATATGCTTAGATTTGTTCTGTGTCCTTTGACTATTGAGCTATAAGTAAATCTTGAAAACATTCAAAACTTTGTTCCTAAATGAAAATACCTTAAATAGAACTTGTTCCAAACATGCTACAAAATTTTATCGAATATCATGAAAGATATGAAAAATAATTCTCTACCAAACAGTATATTTGAATAAAAATTTTTGTACACTATTGAGATGTAGTAAAGGTTTTTATATAGTCTATCGCCAAAAAAATGCCTATTTTATTAGTTTTTGCTTTTTTTTGTACTCAAAATAACCCTCCGTCATTACTCTGCCATCCTTAACGGAGCAACTAAAACTCTCCATTCTCACATCATTTTGTACAGTACAAATCTCCCTCAAGTACTAAATATTCACATAACTCATTTGATTGAGACTCGTCTTCAAAAAAAATAAAATTTTTGCCTCTTCAGAAAATTCTTTTTGAGTGCTGTCAAAATTTAGCTATAGCTCAAAAATCAATTCATAGAAAAATTCTTAGCATAAATTCTGAAAGAACACAAAAATTTGATACTAATAGAAAATTGTTTATTATTTTTCAATGCATTTAAATATACGAAAAATAATCAAATATTTAGTCCAGAAAATCTCAGGCCATTTATTGTTTATTGTTTTATTTTCCTATAAAACTATATAGAATACAAATCAAATTTTAACATAATATTTTTAGAATCGATCACTGTTGATTATGCCTATGGAGTGCATGATGAAGTAACTCGACGTGCTAAACTTGTACCTTGGATTGATGATGATTTGTCAGATGATATTGATTATCAACAAACAGAACCCAATGAACAATATTTTAATGTATTCTTTATAAGTATTTTTCATTTATTGAATCATATTATACTTGATTCTTTTTAATATTACCTAGACAGGGCGAGAAAATGAAAGTCTTCCATCATCTGATAATTATCGTATAGTTGATTTAACTAAACTCAATCGAATAATTAATGTTTTTACTGACATTGAACTTGTTCAGAATCATTTGATTGATAAACGTTTTCAATTAGTCGAAGATTCATCTCAAGCTGATATTATTTTTACAAGAAAACATTTTAAAGATTTCAAGTAAATATTAAAACACAAGAAACAATATTTGATTATTTTGTCAATTGATTATTTTCTTAGAAATTTATGTGAAAATACTCAACAATTAATAAATCAATATCCATTTGAAAATGTAATTAATATAAAAGATCTTTTAGCTGTTATTTGTCGTCGAACATCACTATCAATTGATAATGAAACACTTCAATCATATCCATTATGGTTGCCAACAACATTTAATTTAACATATGAATTACCAAAATTTATTTCATATTTTCAACATCGAGAACAAAAGTAAGGAATTTCTTGTTTTTATTTCTTTACAAGAGTTTTTCAATTAAAATATTGCTTTGAATTTAATAATAGAAATTTAGATAATCATTGGATTGTTAAACCATTTAATTTAGCACGATCAATCGATACACATGTAACGAAAAATCTCAATTCTATTATTCGATTAGCTGAATCAGGCCCAAAAGTAAAATATTAAATTTATTTTCAACCGAAAACCGAAGAGAGAAATTTATTTATGTTTACATTAGATTGTTTGCAAATATATCAATAAGCCTTTATTATTTGATCGTGAAGATAGTGGTTTAGTTAAATTTGACATCCGTTATATTGTTTTATTACGTTCGTTAGAACCATTAAAAGTTTATGTTTATGAAAAATTTTGGCTTCGTTTTGCAAATAAGTAAAGAATAAAGACGATTTCTACTGAATATTTATTTAATTCATTTTAGACCCTATTCATTAGATAATAATTATGATGATTATCAAGTTCATTTCAGTAAGTAATTAACGGGTGGTTTATAAGGAATGGTATATTTTGAGATTTTTGTTTTTGAAGAATGAAACACAGTTTCAAGACACCATTCTAAGCTGATTCGATCGAGAATTTTTCGCACCACAAAGCTATCGAGTTTGTTCTTCTCGTGACATAGAAAAAATTGTAAAAAATCCACAGCCACTCTATCATTAAACTGATATTCTCAGGAAACAAAACAATTATTAAAAAAATGATTAAATAACAGTTTCACCAAAATTCAAAAATGTGCTGCAAACTACACCATGAAATACTGCATCTTGCCAATGTTTCATAACTTTAGAAAAACATCATTGGAAGAACAGTTTGTTAAGCCAAAATTAAAAAGAATGACGCAATAGATTCCTTCATACATATCTTTGTCATTGAAGACAATCTCAAGATTTTCGTTATTCGTTTTAAAAGTCACATCATTCTCTTCAGAATCGAATTTTCCATCCGATGATAAATCATTCATAGAGTATGGTATCTATTGAAAACGCATTGAAAACAACATACTACCAGATGTTAGGTCCAAGCTTTTTTCTAACTGAAAGATATAATTAGAAGCTTTGAGAAGGTCTTGGAAGCGTAGAACAAAACATTCTGTATCTAATGATTTACATTGAGCATCGGATTTGACGAACACAAACTTGCACAAATCGTTAAATATGTACAGAAAATAGCGAAAGATTGTAGTTGGACAGTGAATCAAATATCAATCTTTCCAATTTTTCGTCGACAAGAAAAAATTATTTAGAAAAACGAAATCTATATTTTTGTAGAGAGAAATTTTTCTACTAAATGAGTTTAGAATGGTGACTTTGAACAGTGTTTCCGTTCTTCAAAAATGGAAAACCATACGGTCCTGTTGTTTATGAGCCATCCGTTAAAATTAAATTTTTCATCGAAAAAATTTTTTTTCAGCGGTTATGAACTACCGATATGCACAAAATTTGAAAAAGATTACGTGTGAAGAATTTATACCTTTATTTGATAAACAACAACAACATCTTACCTGGGCTAATGTTCAAGTATAAAAATAGAGAATGATTAGTTGAAGTTCGTTTTCTTTTTTGTTGAATATTTTGCAGGAAAAAATATTTTCAATGATTCGTCAAATATTTGAACGTGCCATATTGAAAAAACCACCATGTGGTATGTTACCATGTCATCGATCACGTGCAATGTACGCTATTGATTTGATGCTTGATGAAAGTGGTCAACCATATTTATTAGAAATGAATTTTATGCCTGATATTGAACGAGCGTGTTCATATTATCCAACATTTATGGATGATATATTTCGTACTCTTTTTCTAGATGAATCGAATAGTAATGTTATTGATATTTCGTCAAAATAAAAGAAGTTAAAAGCATATTGTCAAAGACAATGACTAATAATGGTGTTTTTTTTTTTACTTTTCATCAAGTTTTGCAAAATAAAGATTAGAATAGTATGATACACACTTTGTTATAATCATCATGTTGTAGCAAGTATTGTTCTCGAGACAAAAAATTATGGCAAAAATATGGTTACTTATATATTCTGTGAAACAATTTTTAATTGAAGAATTATAGAGATTATGAACTATTGAAAGATGAAAGACCAGTACGACTTTGTCATTTTCAAAGGTCAAGAAACTTAATCAATAAACTAGGCGAATAAAAATTATAGGTAATAAGAAATTCTAACTATACCAAATATTTCTGATTTGCAAGTTACCATTTGTACATTCGAAGTGTGTCTTTATGAAGAAGATGAGGATGATTTATTTCGTCTGCCATTGATCAGTAATTCAATAATTTACTGTATAAGTATCTCATTTCGACGATGGAAAATAACTAACTAAGATGATAAATATAGTCTATCATAGAACATAACTACTTTGCCGAAAGACTGATGCAGATGCATCAGTCGCATAGATGTCCATCGCGGTTGAAAGTCCACCGCTGCCGCACCGCGATCGTTTTTCAAAAGCTGACGCCGCCCGGTTATCGCACCGCGATGATATGAAATGGAAAAGCTACTGCGCCGCTGCCGCGGAGGTATTAAAAACGTATTCGAAACCATAACCTGTTCCCCAAAATAAGAAACAAAAATATTATTAATTTTTCATGTAAGAAAATGGGTGATAAAAATGAATCTATTAAGACGTTGGTTGTATTGAAAACATGCAGTTAGTAGTCAAAAGACATACAAGTACATGGGATCTTAGATTATATTGAAAGTGATATATTGCCCGAATCAGTTAGTCTCATCCGATTTGTTCAACTAATATTTCAGACCAGGATAAAATAAGAGTGGTAGAAGTTTATAATTGACAGAGACTATGGTGTCAAATGGGTGAGATAATGTAGAGTAGGGTTTTAGATCCAAAATAAAACGATGCATTCATATCATGCTAATGAGATTCACGATAACCTCTTTTCAATCCTGTATGCTAAAACAAAAACCACATATTTCTTTGAACATTCTCTTTCGTGTAGTCACTCAAATGTGCAAAAATAGGAATTACAAATTTCTAGCTATTACCAGAACTTCTGGACATCTTTTATTCCTGTTATTATAAAACTTCATAGAATGATACTTAGCTTTCAAGAAAATCTAGTCGACACATGATATTATGCATAAGTGTCGTACTTGTTACAAAGTTTAATAAAACTTGATATTTTCTGATCATTTTTCATCTTCAATTATGAAGCCAACAATAATAATCGTGTTTTCTGAATTCGATTGTTTTGCTAGTAATTTAATGAGAAAACATAGAAAGTATACGTACAGTTTATTTGCTCCAACTGTAATAAGTTTGTTAATATGCATACACATTATCTATATGTATAATGTTTTAAGTCGTATATCACAGTAAAATTTATAAATCAAGCAAAGAAATTCTAATAATCGTAAAACTCGTCGAATAGTGGGGCTTAAAGAACTTCACGATTTAATGCACGCGTTAAATACAAACCCTAATACGCTTGTGACTAGAAAAACTCATTAACGTTGACGTAATTAGAAGAAACACACGTTGGTCTAACATGAAAAAAGTATGATCAATAAAAATAAACATATTGTTACATTTGCAGTTTAAAAGTTTACAAACAAGTGTATCAATGTTGCTTATAGTGCACATAAAGTAAACGAACCTTTAGAGTAAGAATAAGTCAGCATTTATCAGTAGAAAATCATGACAATGATAAAATTACTATAGGGGTATCTGGAATTAACTATCAATACTTATGTCAAGTAAAATCAAATCAAATATATATTCAGCAACATTTATTAACAAGCTCTGAAATATCATCATCATTCAGTCGTGTGGTAGTAAAGAGTTTGTTTATGTTTGATGACAGAAACATTGAACTGCGTTGGCTGAAAAAAATTCTCCTTGATTCAAATTACATTATGATAATAATCTCAAGTACTATGGATTTCTTCAGAAAAAGATGGAAAAAATGTTCCAAAAGTTCAACCGCTACCACTATAGTATTTAAAAAAATCTACCGCACCGCGCCGCCTTATTAAAATTTTTTTGCCGCTCCCGCCATCGCGGTAGCGGCAGCGCTGCCATGGACATCAATGATATGGCTATTCATTGACTAAGGACACATAAAGGAAGATAAACATCAAAATAGAAGTAGGATTTCGCTGCATTGCATTTGTGCCAAAACAATCAATACTTTTTTTATTGGCGGCATTTTTGACACTGATGATTAAAAGTAAAAAGAGGTCGTTTGTTTAGAACATATTGAAAAGTTACCGAAGAATTTCAATGTATAAAAAAAATATTTTCTTGTTTTATTGAATGAAAATATACGAGTAAAGAAAACTAACATTCACACACTATAATCATTGGAGAACATATTTGTCAATATGTTTCATGATACATGGGTAGTATGAACAAATGATTCTTGTGTACTTTCACCAGAAGTTTTGATGTTACTTTCGCTCAACTTTACTTGACACTAATTTCATGTTCCTTTGCCTTACGATCAAAATTAGTTCAGAATTTGTCCTACAAGTTATTAATATTACGGAAAATTGCCCACTACAATGTTGTTTTTCTAGTATTCGTTTTTCAGTAACATCTGTGATAGATTGTGGATCATCCACACTGAAGGCAAAAATCAACGTGGATTAGCGAAATCTGAAAACGTTTTATAAAAAATATTAAAGTGATAAAAGAAGGTTTTGTTAATTACGTTGAAGAAACAACAAAATTAATGATTCCACTTCTTAGATTTTATTTTCATAAAGGTAAAAGATTTTTATTTCAATAGATAAAATTAAAAAAACAAGATTTATAATCTTTGAAGATATTCGTACTGTGGCTGCTGAATCTTTACCATATTTACTTGATTGTGTTAAATTACGTGATAATGATTATGCTCGTCAATTATGGCAATATATGAATAAACAATTATTTCAAGCAATTGAAATTGAATCTGATCATGAAGTACTTGGTGAATTATTTTTATCATTAAGCAAAGTAAAAGAAAAAATAAATAAATTTCTTTATTCGATATTTGTCTTTTGAATTTAGTGTATTGAAATATTAGGTGTATTAAGTTTAACAGGAAATGAATTAAAAGAATTAACAATCATTCTTGATAATCATCTTAAAAAACATTTTGAACGGTCAAATGAACGTGCTGAAAAACGACATGATGAAGATTATGATGAAGAAACCGAAGAAGAAATGGTTGAAGAAGATGCTTGTGATGCATATATATTAACTCGTTTATCGAATATAATTCATTCACTTTTAATAACATATAAAGATTCATATTTGGTTTATTTTGATACATTAGTACCACATTTTAATGCTCTTATACAACCAACACGTTCAATATCTGATCGTCAATGTGCGTTATGTATATTTGATGATGTAATTCAATTTACTGGTGCATATTCACATCGCTATTCGCAATTTTTTCTTGCACGTATGGCCGAAAGTCTTGCTGATTCATCACCTGAAGTAAATTTTTATTTCTTTATTATTATTATTATTATTATATATCTTCTTTATAGATTCGTCAAGCTGCTGCATATGGATTTGGTGTAATGGGAAGGAATGGTGGTCCTGTTTATGCACATGCATGTGCTGAAGCATTACCTCTTTTATTTACTCTTATTAGTGTATCAGATAGTCGTTCAACAGAAAATAATACAGCAACTGAAAATGCAATTAGTGCAGTTACAAAAATATTTAAATATAATAATTCATATGTTGATAATCTTGATAAAGTAAAAGAAATATTTTTTTGTTTAAAAAAAGCGCAATTTATTTCCTTTTTTTTACGATAGCTTCATCAAGTTTGGTTTTCTTGGCTTCCAATTCATGAAGATACAGAAGAAATACCATATGTTTATGATTATTTATGTGATTTAATTGAATCGTATGTGTGAGAAATTTTAAAGTATTTTTATGAAGATTTTATTTTAGAAATAATCCGATTATTATTGGACAAAATAATTCAAATATATGTAATGTGATTAATTTATTTACTGATGCATTTGCTAAATCATCGATTGAAGTTAATTCAGTTATTGGTCAACGTATGATGCTCATTTTACAACAAATTCAAGTTAGTTTTTGTTTTCTTAGATTGAATATTGAGATCGTAGCATATAGTTAATTATATGTTTGCACAATACATTATCTTGTGCAATTATTTTGAGACCACTTCTTTATCTAAATCTAAATCTAAATAATCTGTTATACTTTATTTTTATTTTAGACTGCAAATATAAATTTACCATTAACTTCAACTAGTTTATTACAAAACATATTCTCAACACATATTGTTCCTCCACGTTTGGCACCAACGGTTGATCAAGTATATCGAAATAATGACTTAATTAACCAATCTTTACAACTTGTGCCGTATATTTTATTAAGTGAACGCTCATTACAAATTTTAAAAAAATGTGATAAAGCTAATGATACTAAAAATGACATTATACAACATATTATTGAACGAATACAAGTGATTGAAATTACTGTTGATGAGAACAGATTGAAGTATTATTCAACTGATGGTATATCTTATAAATCATCAGATGATACTTATATATTACAAATTAATAAAGAATTATTTGAAGATTGTATCAATGCCTTCAATCAGCCAATGGTATTAAACAAAGCAAAGTTACGTTTAGTAATATCTATTTGTCATGAATTTATACATCATAAAATGCACAAATATTTACTAAACGACAAATGGTCAAAAGCAAAATATGAAAAAACTCCACCAGAACTAGTAGAATCTGATGTTCATTGGGAAAAGCACGTTATTGGTGGTCGTGTGATTAAGATCAATAAAACTATTTATTCATTTATTACGAACAATGGCGAAAAAATTGATCTTGAAGATGATTTATGTGCATTTTTATTGGACAAAGTAAATTATGATGATGAAAATTCTAATGCTTATTCCAGAAAAGAAAAACAACAATTACAATCAGGTGTTTCTATTAAAAGATCAAGAAAGAAAATTGAACGTTTATATCTTGATTTAAATGGTACACAAAAATCGAAGAAAACAAGATCAGAACCATATCAAACATATCGCTTAACACCAATCCATCCAATTTTTGCTGAAATAACACTCGAAAATGATACCAATGATGATATTATTTATCCAGATCTTCCTCAAAATTGCGGTGCTTTACGTGCATATTTATACAAATATCTTGAAGATGATGGTGAAATGTTCAGTGTTGATTTACCTATAAATGATTATGATTGGACATGTAGTGGTTTACGAGAACGTTGTCGTGCAACACCATATTTATTACCTGATTATGTTATTATAAAACCAAATGAATCAAAAACATTTACAATAAAATTAATGGAAATAACAACAGATAATGAAGAAGAAAATATGAAAATCACTGGACATTATTATTTAGAAATAGAAATAGGTTATAACACAAACGATGCAGATGATCTTTATGTTGGTGAAAGAACAATTGAATTTAATATGGAATATGATAATGGAAAGAACAACGATGATAATATTGATGTTGAACAACAAGAAATGCCAATCTTAAAACAATAAATTTTTTATCCTGTTGTAAATAGAGGTATGTATATGTTTGTTAGTTTTGTTTTAGCATATCCGATCAATTTTATTATGAATTATTCGAAGCCGTACAAATGCAATGTATATTTTCTGATCCAAAAACATTTTGTGATGCTATTCCACATAATCTTAGTGCAAATGATATTCTTGATTTACATCAACAAGAATTGACTAAACCAACATTTAATTTAACTTCATTTATTTCCAAGAATTTTATTCTATCAAATCAACAACAGTTGTACCTGATAAATGGATAATTGAAGAACATTGCCATCGTTTATGACCATTATTAACATCAACAACAAAACATGAAAATTTTTCATCATTTATTGATGTTCAACATCCATTTGTTGTATCTGGTGAACATTTTAGAGAATTTTATTATTGGGATACTTATTTTATTATGTTAGATTTACTTTGATCAAATGAAACACAATTAATAAATAATATGTTAGATAATTCTACTGATTTAATTCGAAAATTGGATTTATTCCAAATGGTAAACAATATTATTATAAAGATCGATCTCAACCACCATTGTTTTCATTAATGACTGAATTAGTTAATAAAACAGACAAATATAAGAATGAATTAGAATAAGAATAACAATTTTGAATGACAAAAAGAAGTATTACACTTAATGATGGAACATTTTATATTGATATTATGATGAATTATATGATCGACCAGGACCAGAAGCATATTTTGAAGATATAGAAACAACAACTAAAAAGAATAATACGAATATTTATGTTTATCTTCGAGCAGCTGCTGAATCGAGTTGGGATTTTAGTTCTCGATGAATGGAAGATGAAAAAGATTTATCAACAATAATAACAGTAAATATTCTTCCCGTTGATCTTAATTGTTTATTGTATCATTTAGAACTAATATTAAACAAACAAAATGAAGCTGAACGTCGTCGACAAGTTATACACAAATATATGCAGTTATCTGATCTGAAATGTTTTTACTGATAATAAGTATATAAAAAAACAACCAAGAAATTGATTAACATTAGCATGATCATTTCATATATTTTTTCCTCTAGAGCAAAACATGGAAGGATCCATGTCAGTAACGGAAACAAAACGACAGAATGATGGAAATGTCTATATTGAATTAGATACAAAATACAGGTATATTGTATCGACTATTTTTTTTTTGTTTTATATCAAAACATGTTTCTTCAGTTGCTCATAATCAAAACCAAATATTGATGTATCTATTTCATCATATTACTCTTCTTTCATTTCTTCATTTCTTTTCATTTCTCTTTAGTTTTCTCATCGTTATCTTCAATGTCAAAGTTCAATGCCAATTGCTATTCTTCGATCATATATACAATAAATTTTACCACATTCTTCTATGATACGAGTAAACATTACATTCCATTTTTCACCATCATCATCCCTTTCTTTAGGTTTCACTTTATGATTCAAATGATTGATTATTAAAAGATTCAGATCTTCTTAGTACATTAAAAACTTCAACATCATTATTTTATATTCCAATTCGTTTTACATTATTTAATCGAATCACATCACTTGGTCATTGTTTATGTTCATCATTATCATCATCATCCATACAACAAAAAACTTTATCATATTCATCATCTTCAACTATAATTAAACGTGAAACAATTGATCAAATACTTTCAACTTGTTCATTAATTCCACCACCATCATCATCAGTTATTTTACCTTGTTTATCATTATCATCATATCCAAGTGAATTATCAAATTCAATTTCAATAGTTAATCTTCTAACTCCACCATTATCACATTCGTCATCATCATATTTAAATGAAAATAATCTAAATGATCAATCAATATTTGATGAAATAACATCACAATTTGGTGAAATATGTCCACCATTACCAAAAATCACGAAATCGTTTATCAGAAAAACTGCTTTCAGCATATTCATCATATCTTCCACTTGATCTAAGTCTTAAAAACCGTCCATTATCATTCGATTTATTTTCTTCACAAAAAAAATGGTTCAAAACATAATTCTTTTCTTTTCTCTTGTTTAAGTGATACATTAAGTTGTTCTACATTGTTGTTTATTTGTATTTATGCATAGAAAACTAAATAGATTTTCAGTTACACAGCATGAAATTGAAACGAAAACGAGCGGTTGATTATGTTATCCTAGTCATTTATGAACAAATTAGATATGTATAGTATTTGAATTGTGTGTAAAAAAAGATTGAAGATTCATGTTGTGTTGGTTGCTTCCACGAAATGATCGTTTGTCAAGATAGAAAAGTTGAGTGATAGATGATGCGAAGAAGAGAAAAGAAAATAAGTTCATATCGAATTCCATTCTACCATCAGTTAATTTGCAATAGACATGTTTTAATCGAACAAATTTTCTGGATTATAGTCCCATCTATAAATCACTGTTATTGTTAATGAAAATGAAGATTAGAAACTAGTTACTAATATATTGTAGCCTGGAGCATTCATCCACCTGCCTAACTAAGATCAGAAACATGTGTATATCGTTCCTTAGATCGTCTTTACCTTGACGATGATGAGGATTGAAAGTTAAATAGCGGTTATTTCTCACGCTATGAAAAATAAAAAAATTATTTTTATTAAGTTTGTTATGCTATTTCTACAAATGTCGTTAATTTCCTATTTGATTAGTGATATCTGTCATAATTATTGACGAGAGGGTGTATTGTTTATTAAAATGGCGTCATAAAGCCCAACCCTACGTGAAAAAATACACTTCGAATATTTTTTATCCTCTTAGTCGTAACAATCAAGAATAGTGGAGTCGAGTCACATTAACTCGTCATTTATTTACTATTTAACTGATTCATAAGAGCTATTTAGTGATATTTTCAAGTAAATAAATAACCTATTTTGATAAAATCTTATTTAGGGTTAACCATAAGTTCTGATCACGATGTTTAAAATTTTATAAAATAGTTAATATCGACAGTTTTATTGTATGAATACATAGTAGAGTGCCTCGTCTACAACAGCGTGTTGAGGACTGATCAACAGTTCCGATAACATCAAATAAAAATATAAAAAGAAAGAAATGCTTTCAGTTTTATTTTATTAAATGTTCAAAATAGTCAACATTATTATTTACACAAAGTTCCATCCTCTCTAACCGTTTCTAGAAAGTTTTTAAAACTCTTTTTCTGCAATATTTTTCCTACTTTGAAAATCTCCTGAACTAGCGATTCTTCTTTTGCTTGATCAGGCAAATTGCTCTTGATATAACCATTTAGCCAAAACTCATGGTGCAAGATCTGGTGAATATGGTGAATGTGGCATTATTTCTTTTTATATTTTTATTTCTTGTTTTCGAAGCTTTTGGTCACTCTTGAATACATTATTATAGACGAGGCATTCTACTATATATTCATGCAACAAACTTTCGATATTAACTACCTGATAAAATTTTAAACACCATGATCAGAACTTTTGGTTAACCCTAAGTATTTATGTCTTAATAAATAGCGAACAGTAATGGCTTCCGATCTATCTCATATCGATAATCAAATAAACTCAAGCGAAAATGAAATTTTAATTGATAAATCTTCAATAAATACTGAGGAAGAAGAAGAAGCAACAGTACTCAAATGAAATGAAGAAACAATTCTTACAAAATCATTAATATCAAATAATGCAACCTGAACACGTAAAATATCAGTATCATCAACAAATTCAAAAATTAGTGATTATCCGGATATATATCGAATATGTCATTGCGAAGGTACTAATGATGAACCATTAATATCTCCATGATTATGTTTGGGTACAATGCAATGTTTACATCAATCATGTTTACAACGTTGGGTAAAACGTGCCGGTGTTAAATCATGTGAATTATGTAAATTTGAATTTATAATGCATTCTGAACTAAAACCAATTAAACAGGTTTTTAAAATAATATTAGTTTTTTTGTATTTGTTGATTGAAAAAGTTTTGTTTTTTTGTTTAGCGGCAAAAATTAGAAATGAATGTTATTGAAAGACGAAAAATAATGTGTTCTGTTGCATTTAATTTAATTGCTGTTACATGTGTTCTTTGGTCACTTTATGTTTTAATTGAAACAGCACGAGAAGAAGTTAAAGCTGGAAAACTTCGTGAGTTTATTTAAAAGATTTTAAGATGATGATTGTTTTTTTAGAATGGCCATTTTGGACTAAATTAATTGTTGTAGCTATTAGTTTTACTGGTGAATTGGTAGAAAATCATTCGAAAGAATTATTATTTAATATTTTGAATTTTTTTTAGGTATTTCTTTATGTTCAGTGTAAAATGTATCTTGAGGTAAAATAAAAAAAATAGATTTATTGGTTATATTCTTAAATTCTTTTAGCTTTATTAAAAAGATTCTTCTTTTTTAATATGATTAGTTGGGTTTTGAAGCTGAAGTTCATAGATTGTGATACTAAGGCATAGAGATGTATATAAATAAGTGATTTATACAAACGAATCAAAAATCTGATTCGTTGCTGTTTAAACACAACTCGTCTATCTGGTATAATATTTATATTACATATTACAGTTATTAATCATGAGCTAAAACAATCTTGACTGCACAAAAGTCTCGGGTAACATCTAGACAAAGTTATTTCATTATAGAAATAACAACAATTGACAGTGCGAATTAGAATAAATATTCATATTTCATCCATCTGAATCGCCGTCTACAAATTTTTATTACGTATCAGTGTATCGAACTATCAGCAACTTGTGTTGCAAGTAGTACTGTGCAGCTGGGTACTACATTGATTTCTGATAGCTAGTCATGTTTACAATGTATCATAGAGTTCAATCCTCTGTCTGTTAATATGATAATGATTTTGATATAAAAATTCTAATTCCACCTTATGCATGTGTTTTGAATGTTAAAAAATAGATGCCTTTTCAGTTTTCTATTTATATATGTGCGTCGAAATCATTTAGTCTTACTCAATCGCTATGATATTAATTGACTGTTTATCTGTCATCATGCGATTTGTTATAACAATAATGATAAATAAGGCAAAATGCAATGCCAATTGACTCATCGAATGATTGTAAGTCAGTGGACAGTTAGCCCGCATCGGACATGTTCCGTTTTCAGTTTTCATCATTCATATCAGGATTTCGATGAATGTCATCAAATGAAGGTACTCATTTGACTGTATAAACAATACAAACCAGCATACGAAGATCAATTGTCGATTAAGTGAGAGACAAAACTTTTTGTCTATGAAGTATTCTTATCTGTACGACTGATGAATCTAAAACTTTAAATATCAGATAGAATATTGATCTCGATCGATGTAGTCATTTCCAACAAAAATGAAGGTAACTCTATTAACCATGATCAATAAAGGAAGGCATGCAAGAAATTTCTAGGAGTCGTTTGACTTTTAGTTCTTTAGAAAGAACTATACTGCAAGTAAATGATCGGAGACTATATAGAAAACGTTCGAAGCAATTTTAGGACTTCACAGATTTTCATAGCCTAGTGTTAAATGTTTGAATCAAGTGGGTTGATTAATAACAAAATCGACATCTATATCCTATGAAAATAAAACAGATATTGATTTATTTTATAAATAATTAAATCAGACTATTCGACTATAGTTAATTTATAGTTCTTCTCAATATGAGCTTATTAAAATTTGCTAATGTGATAAACATCGGCTAGTTGCACATTCTATTTATTTTGAATACCAGAAAAAATTGTTGATTGATAAATGATGAGTACAAATATTTCCGTACGAGAACTCTCACCACCAAAAAGGTAAGTGAGTAAAAACACCCAAGATAAATATAAAGCTTGCTGGAAGGTCAATGAATTATATCAGAGATTGAGATGAATAAGAAAATTTTCATTCAGATTTGAATCAAGTCAGCTCGTCTGAGTTTATTTGTGTCGTATAGAGTTTTTCGTTCATTCGATTTGATTTCAATCTTTGGAATATATTTGTCAATGCAATCAAACATTAAAATTTGAATAAGAAAATATAATAGGCTTCATCTCTTTCTGATGAATCAACCTTAGTAAATAGTAACAAAACAATTAGTCATTGTTACAACTACATAATAGAACAGATTTCTGTATGACAGTTTTAATTTTTCAACATAGTAACAATATCAACATATGATGCAACAAAATAAAAATCATATCTAGTCTACAATAATTATTCTATAATCTTTCAACAGACTTTATATTTACTGTGATTTTTTTATGTGCTTAACTTGTCGACGCTCAAAGTTTTTGTACTGAAATTTCCCATGATCATCGTTCGAATTCCAAAAGAAAGGAAATATTTCTCTCTATCGGATTCATTTGTGTCTAATCTTGTTTATAAAAAATTAAAAAATTAAATAATTTAATTCGATATAATAGAATACAAAAAGCAAAAATATTGATACAATCAATAGATAAAATGGCAAGAGGGTGTGGGGTGTGGGTGGGTGGGTGAAGATGACATGAATACTATGCCTACACCCACACCCATCTTTTCAATATCTCTCAAGAACGTGTTCAAAACTCGTTAATATTAGCTTTTGAACGATTGATAGATATTAAAATATCAGTCCACATGAAAACTATTCATTTTACTTTGTTATGGCAGGAGATATCTGTCCTGCCATAAGTATGTTCTCTCTTCTTTTCCTTCGGTTTCATTCTATCACGTTTACAGTCATCCCATTCTTCTTCTCGTATCTGTTCTATTTAAACCAGTGTTAGTGTTTGAGAAAGGGGATTATTTCCAGGCGATTTTGTAAAAAGAAGAACGAAGGGCGAAAATAAAGAAAAAGACTGTAACATACTTCTAATTATTATTATTGATCTGGAAAATTGAAATTAATTTATATTGCTTTCAACAGAAATCTATACTATTTGATTGCTTATATTTTTCTAGTTAAGTCTTTCTTAATAAGCATTCGATCACAACTATAGATAATTCATACAGTTCAATGCTTAGAAGAGCTAATAAAGTAAAATAAGATAATTTTCTATGTGACATTCTTAATAATGAATGAATAAAACAGTATCGATGACTGTTTTCTTCTCCTGTAACTTTTCGATAAAATAATTTGTCATATAAAATATATTCATATCTTAAATTAAAATCTTATATTTATAGTGCATGTCATATATCAATGAATGTTATACGAATGTTTTCTCTTGTCTTTCTCTATTCAAAAACGATCATGAGACAAATCAAACCTGTTTATACAAATATTCATGAGAACAGAAGTAAGTATTATTGCATAAAGATAAAGAACACATTATGAAAATACTAACGACATACAATAAAAACATATATTTATATGACATAACTATGTCATATATCTTTTGTAATACGTACATCAGTGTTCAATGAATAGAAAGCCCGCATCCTCATTGACAATCATACTATTTCATCTGTTACAAACATAGATTCGTACTCAATTTAAGCATGAAGTAACCGCTTCAGTTTTCCTTTGAACTCAAAATGTTTCAGTGGCATCTCTCATAATTTTATTTTTTAAAATGAATAATAACTTTTTTTATTTTTCAGTTTTTCATGCATCCAATTTGTTACATCTCTTGACATTTATTAAGATTATCTCAAACAATACAGCACATTATTTTATATATGCAAAATAGTAATATCATTTATTCGCTAATACCCACTTCACACTCTTGCCTCCTTATATTTTTTAGCATATAATGAGTTTAAGGATGATACTTCATTTCTCTATACACTCCCATGATCATACAATGTTATAATGCACACGATACTTTCAAGACAAAGTTGAAGTTGTCTTCTTACTGCGATTTTTCAAGCGACATATTAATCTCTTCTATATCGAATTGACAAAGACTAAACTTTTTTGGCTAGATTTGAGTGCATACTGTCTGTTTTCTTACAAGTGTGACCAACGTCCAAATCTGCATGTCCACATCTAAACTCGTACTTACACTCTACATGCTATCCACAAGTAAAGCAAAATTGAAAAAGTATGCCGAAATCGATAATGAAGAGTATTCACAAGAACTGTCCTTTTTGGGTCACAAAACATAAATTTCTTAGTTTATTTCTACTTCGAAAGTCTGTCAATGTATGTGAATTGAAAATATAATAAATTTTTCATCTATTCGTTTTATTTTTTCATTCATGAAGAATAAATCGGTCTAAATATTTTTCTACTTAACAAAAGCAAATTGATAGAAAATTGAAAAATTTCCAACAATCCAAATCATTATCCGACATTTTTCTGTTTTTTGAATTTTGCCATTCATGCTCTTTGAGATTTTCTACACTCGATATTTCTGATTTTCCAGTTCTTATCCATTTGACACTTTGCGTCTTCCTTTCAGATGTTAACTCTTCATAGAAATGTTAAAAATTACTCAAAAAAAAACAAAACTTAAATATGGCGACGAATTCAGGAATCATATTTTCATCGTTACAAACAACCGCTCTCTGTATCGTCATTGTATCCTTTTTGCTTTTCTTTTTCTCTCTCTTTCACGTGCATATATCAACACCTCTATTCGCTTATTATTCATCAACCATTCTTAACTCATCTTTCCAGCGCTTTTCTCGCTCCCCTACTCTTTACGTTGTGTTTTCTCTATCGATAGAAGAAAGAGTATTGCCAGACAACACTTATAAATATTCAATGTTGCAGAGAAAGCTTTTATTTTAATTTTAAAGTATTATTTAATTTAATGTAGTTCAACTGTTTTTACTATGACATATATATTAGAACTCGTTGAGTATATTTTCAATGCTACTTGTGTATCTATTGAAAATTGCCTCATGGAAAGCTAAAATTCTGGATTTCTATATCCTTTACCATACTCTCTCATCAATGAATTTCGTGAGAGAAATCATACAATGAACCATCAATATCTATTGACTAGTACTCAAAGTAAATATAATATAATATAAAAGGCAAAAATATTAATACAATAAATAGATAAAGTGGCAAGAGTATATGAAAATCGACATAATTTAATTAATTCGACGTTTCGATCTTCTATAAGATCATTTTCCAGAATTACACGAACTTGTACGAATAGTACTCATAACCTAGAAAAATCGTTGGAGCCTAGAAATATCACGAGAAATAATTTCTTGAATTAAATATAATATGAAA